AGGCACATCATAATTACACTGGCCAAGATTAAAGATAAAGAGAATCTTAAAAGCATCAAGAGAGAAGGAGAGTTACCTACAAAGAACTTCCCATAAGTCTATCAGCTGATTTCTCAAAAGAAACCTCACAAGCAAGAAGGGGCTGGAAAGATGTATTCAAAGTCATGAAAGTCAAGGACCTTCATCTAGGACTACTCTATCCAGCAAAGCTATCATTTGCAACCGAAGGGCAGATAACATGCTTCCCAGATAAGGTGAAATCGAAGGAGTTCATCATCACCAAGCCCCTTATATGAAAGGTGAAAGGGACTTATCTAAGAAAAAGAACAGCCCTGGCTGGTGTAGTCAGTGAATTGAGCACAGGCCTGCAAACCAAACAGCCATGGTTTGATGCCCAGTCAGGGCACATGCCTGGGTTGCAGGCCAGTTCCCAGCAGGGGGACGCATGAGAGGCAACCACACATTGATATTTCTCTTCCTCTCTCCTTCCCTTCCCCTCTAAAGATAATAAAATCTTAAAAAAGAAAAAAGAACAGTAAAATGACAATAAGCTCACAACTATCAACAACTGACCCTAAAATACCAAAAAACCCACAAAAAACAAAAACCCAACCCCCCCCAAAACAAAAAACTAAGCAAACAGCTAGTACAGCTAGTACAGACACAGAATCACAGAGATGGAGATCACATGGAGGGTTATCAGTGGGAAGGAGGAGTAGGGAAAATGGGGGAATAGGTACAGGGAATAAGAAGCATAAATGGAGGGTACAAAATAGACAGGGGGAGTTTAAGGATAGCATAGGAAATGGAGAACCCAAAGAACTTATATGTGTAACCCATGGACATGAACTAAGAGAGGTGAGTGCTGTAGGGACTGCAATGCAGGGTGGATGGGGTAAAAAGGAGAAAAGAATGGGACAACTGTAATAGCATAATCAATAAAATGTACTTTAAAAAAAGAAACATATAAATCAATTGACAATCATAGCTAATCTAATGAAGAACAAAAATGTAAATGAATAAACATGTAAGATAAATGATTAGGAGGAAATAATCACTTAAATAGAAGAAAAAATTTTAAATATTAGGATACTACTTCTCAAAAATCTAGACAAACATATTTGAAAAGCTAAATTAAATAGATATTTTCCTAGGAAAATGTTAGTTCCCAAATTTGCCCCTAGTGAGATAGGGTGTGTGGTGAAAAAGCTGCAACTGAAAAAAGATACAGGAACTGTCAATAAGGCAACTGGACCACCCCCAATGGACTTACAGCTCAAAACCAGCAGTGACCAGCTCCATCCAACACAGTGACTAATCTCACTGAACAGGAAACCCTAACTTTACTATACACTCATTGTAATATCCCAGCATGCTAAATGAAACACCTCACACCCCCATAAATGGAAGGGAAAGCCCACACAAGCCCACAAAATGGCTTACAGAGCTTCTCTGAGAAATCTCCACCCTCTTCCCCAAAAATATTCTGAATATTTTTCTCCATTATTGAGTACAGTCTCCAGACTAGATAAATGAACATCAACAAAGGGACCATATTGTGCAGAAGGGGGCTTCTCTGCCTGTGAAGGAGCCCACTTTCTATCTCACTGTCTCTCTAAGACACTCACTATCACTTTAAAGTCTATGCTGGCTCAAATTTTAATTCTCCCCCCCCAATTTTTATTTATTTATTTTTATATTTTATTGATTATGCCATTACAGTTGTCCCATTTCCCCCCTTTACTTCCCTTCACCCTGCACACCCCCTTCCACCCACATTCCCCCCCTTTAGTTCATGTTCATGTGTCATAAGTTCTTTAGCTTCTACATTTCCCACACTACTCTTGCCGTCCCCGTCTATTTTCTCCCCACCGTCTATGCTACTTATTCTCTGCACCTTCTCCCCTCTTCTCCTCCTCCCACTCCCCTGTTGCTAACCCTCCTTGAGATCTTCATTTCTATGGTTCTGCTCCTGTTTTAGCTGTCCACTTAGTTTGCTTTTGTTTTAGGTGTGGTTGTTAATAACTGTGACTTTGCTGTCCTTTCACTGTTCATCTTTTTTATCTTCTTTTTCTTAGATAAGTCCCTTTAACATTTCATATAATAAGGGCTTGGTGATGATGAACTCCTTGAACTTGACCTTATCTGGGAAGCACTTTATCTGCCCTTCCATTCTAAATGAAAGCTTAGCTGGATAGAGCAATCTTGGATGTAGGTCCTTGCATTTCATGACTTGGAATACTTCTTTCCAGCCCCTTCTTGCCTGTAACATCTCTTTTTAGAAATCAGCTGACAGTCTGATGGGAAGTCCTTTGTAGGTGACTGTTCCCTTATCTCTCGCTGCTTCTAGAATTCTCTCCTTCATTTTAATCTTGGGTAATTTAATTATGATGTGCCTTGGTGTGTTCCACTTTAAAGTCTATGCTGGCTCAAATTTTAATTCTTTTTTGCTTGAAATTAAGAACCCACAGTGGACCCTTGGGTCCCAGAACCCCAAAATACCTGCATCACTATTAAATATAAAAATGTAGCTCTGGCTGGTTCAGTGGACTGAGCACCAGCCTGTGAACCAAAGTCACTGGTTCCATTCCTGTCAGGGCACACGCCTGGATTGTGGGCCAGGTCCCTAGTAGGGGCCACGGGAGAGGCAACCACACATGGATGTTTCTCTCCCTCTTTCTCCTTCCCTCCCCCTCTCTCTAAAAATAAATAATTAAAATCTGTTAAAAAATTGTGAACTAGTGGGATTTTGATGTAACAGTGATTCAGCACTTGAAGATATTGATATTTTATACTCTAATAAGGAAAATTAGCCTCTCATATTTAAGCTGGAAATCCACTGTAATAACTGTTTAGAAAAGAATCACAACTAACATGACTCTTTAGGTTCTTGGTATGTATACTAAGAATTGTGTACAAATTAAAATGTCTGTGTACTTAGCCTAAAACAATCAATAAAATCTCAATTATGAAAAAATGCATTCGTCCTCATTAGTTATAAGAAATATGTACATTAAAAATAAGAGGCTAGCCCTGGCTGGTGTAGCTCAGTGGATTGAGCGCGGGCCTGCGAACCAGACAATCGCGGTTCGATTCCCAGTCAGGGCACATACCAGGGTTGCGGACCAGTTCCCTGCAGGCCAGTTCCCAGGAGGGGACGCACAAAAGGCAACCATACATTGATGTTTCTCTCCCTCTCTCCTTCCCTTCCCCTCTAAAGATAAATAAATAAAATATTAAAAAAAATAAGAGGCTACTACACACCTATCAGAACAAATTAAAAACACTGACAAAACCAACTGTTCGCAAGGATGTGGAGAAAGTAGGACTGTTACACATTTCTGTTGGGAGCGTATATTCGTACAGCTATTTGGGAAGTCTGTTTCACAATATGTATTAAGCTGAACATATCCTATATCCTGGCAGTTCAACCCCTAACAATATATACAAAAGAAAGTACATACATATGTTCATGAAATATAATATTCATTGTGTCATTATTTTCAATAGTTCTAAGTGGGAAATAACCCAAATGTACACCAACATAGAATTAGTAAGTACACTGAGTTACATCCATTGTATTCTATACTATAAAGCAATAAAAATGAACTACTGCTATTCACAACATCCTAAAAGACTCTCATTAGTATAGTCTTTAATGAAAAAAACCAGACACAAAAGAGTGTGTATGGTATGATTCTATTTAGACATATAAGAGCAGACAACAACTAACTATGGTGTTAGAGGTCAAGACAGCAGTTTCCTCAGAGTGGTGGGTAATGAGTGACTGGGAAGGGGCATACAAGGGACTTCTGGAGTGTTATTAATGTTCTTCTAGCTTTTTATCTGGGTGGTGATTATATAGATGTGCTCCCTTTGTGAAAACTCACCAAGTAGTACAATAAAATTTGTACACTTTTTCCTGGCTGTGCCACTCCCATGTTTGACAGATAACCTAGGCTGGCTTCGGCTAGGGAGGTTCAGGAGACTCAGCTCTGCCACAGGTGTCTGTCTTTCTCTAAAAGCTAGCTCAGGAGCACTCTCATTATGACAGCAGAGGTGCACAACGGGTGCGCCAATGTCCAAGTCCATTTCCAGTCTCTGCTTCCATCATTAATGCTAACATTCTGTTGGCCAAAGCAAGTCACATAGTGGCAGCTAGGGATGGGTGGGTGGGCTACTCCACTCGTGGTGGGCAGGCACTGCAGTTACATGGGGAAGGGTCTGGACACAGAGAGGATGATGAATTGGGCCATCAACACAATCTACCACAGTGCGGGAGAATGAAAAAGGAAACTAATGACAACACAGTGGAACACATACAATAACTAAGAGAACTACAGGGCTCTCTGAGGTCACAGAAACAGCTGTATTTCCTCTTTGATCAGGTACTAAAATTATTCATGAGCCCTGGCTGGTGTAGCCCAGTGGGTTGAGCATGTGCCTGCAAACCAAGGGGTTGCTGGTTCGGTTCCCAGTCAGGGCACATGCCTGGGTTGTGGGCCAGGTCCCTGGTTGGGGGCACATGGGAATCAACCACACACTGATGTTTCTCTCTCTCTCTTTCTCCTTCCTTCCACTCTGTCTGAAAATAAATGAATAAAACCTTTAAGAAATTATTCATGAAAAAATTCATGCATGGACATACCTTCTCTCTTCCTGATGATAATCATTTTATATATGATTCATTCTCAAAATTTTCACAGCTCCAGGAATAATGCCTTATGTAAAATAGGCCCTAAAACACCTGCAAAGCAAATCTTCAGCCAGAAATTACAACGTAGTAATATCTCCATTGTCCATTTTTACTTCAGGGTCCAAGGGAAGAAACAGACCCATATAAATCATATCCTACAACATGGGACTAAAACTCCAGCCAGGGCCCGGCAGCAGGGCCAGCCGTGCTCCCTGGTATCAGAGCACCAAGACCCACACACCATGCTTGCCCCCCTGCCACCACCAGCGCGGATCAACCAGAAAGGCCAAGCACTGGACAAAGCCAAGGTCAACCATCAGGTGTATTGGGGAAAGGAGACATGGGGCACCTCCAGGAGTGCCTCCCATGGGCAGCCACCTTGGCAGTTTGCTGGGGGTTCAGGAGGAGCAGGGGGGCGGGGGGGGGGTCATGGAGCTCCTCCAGCAAAGATGAGCTCCAGAGCTGCTTGGATGTCCCCGCCAGTGGCCTGAAGGGCCCGCAGGCTCAGCTCATCATCGTGAATGCCCATGTCTCGCAGCTGCTGCAGCTGAGGCTGCCACTGGCTCTGCAGAAAGACAGGACCAGAGAAAAGCTGTTAGGTGCCATCCCATGGAGACCCATCAGGTCTATGCTGTGAGGGGCGGGGAAAGGGTGGGCTCCTTCTGCAAACTCTGACTTGAAGTTCCACACAACACAGGATTTCCAGTGAGACTGTAAGAGAGACTCAGGGTTTAAGGACAAATGAAAAGTTTATCCAATTAAAAAAAAAGAAATTCTAACATAAGGATCAAAGAAAAAAGCACAAGTTACCCAATGTCTAAAGTTCAAAAGATTACTTTCTTTTTCCTACTATACATATAAACAGACATGCACACACACAGGCACACACATATGCAAAAAGGGTGAGGAGGATAAAATTTCTCATTGTTTTGTTTCTTAGCGTGTCCCTCAGCCCCGTCCTGGACGACCAGTTCTGTTCTGAGAACACAAGCACATATTCCTACACTTACGCTTTCCTCATATTCCTCTTCGTATGTTTACCCCTCCTCTGCTTTTTGTTTGTTTTTCCCTCTTCTGCTTTTTAACGCTCCCAGTGTGTCCTGCACATCTCTCTATGCCGGGACTTAAAGAACGTTTGAATAACCATAACATGCTTTAACACCGCGGACGTCCTGAAGGGCACCGTGACCCTTCGCCACTGGAACAGCACTGCAGTGACCGGCCCAGCACCAGTGTCACTCTCCTCACGCCCACGTCTCCAGGACAGATTCTGAGAGCTAGGACCCTGAGGAAGCGCCTGGTGCGGCCGTCTGTGCTGCAGGTTCCGTGGGTAGCCAGTCCACGGCCTCCCCCCTTTTACTGAGTCGTTTTTGCGGTTAGCGCTCAGACTTTGCCTGGTGTTGGTTTCTTATTTGTTTTCCATCGCTATGCACAAATCGTCACTTTTACAAGCTCCAAATATATGACTCTTTATACAATGGCTCCTGCATTTTCACTTTCAGTTATGAAAAGCCCTCTCAACTGTAAGGGTTTAAAGCAATTAAGCCATATTTTCTTTCAGTACTTTCAAAGCTTCCTCAATCTCTCTATCTCATGAAGTAGGTAAGTGCACAACTCAGGGAAAATGCTGTGCTCGCCCAGTGGAAAGGAGAGGGCAGTGGGGGAGGAACGTAAATTCCTGCAGGCGGGAGGGGCAGGCAGGAGGGGCAGGGGAGGAGGCCTTTTGAGAAAACCGCAAAACAACTCTGGCTCCATTTACAGGCCTGGGGGAACCACCAAGAGCTCCCTGAGCTGGAGACCAAGGTGAGCGGGTGTCAAGCTGCGATGAAGAAACCAAAAACACAAGCTGCCCAAGGTCCCGCTCCCAACCCCTCACTGTCCACTCGGGCCACCTGGGGCAGACAAAGCCCCACAGGCTCAAACCCGGTCTCTACTACTTCCTCGCTCACTGACCCTGGCAAGTGCCAGAAATGACCCACAGCCCCCTGCTGCCTGTGAGCAGCAAAGGAAACGGGGAGGCAGCCGGCTGTGCGTGGACACAGGCAGTAAGACCCGGTCCCGGGGGCCTTCTGCTTGGCCCCTAAGGTGAGCGTGCGCGAGGCAGAGCAGCTAGTGTCCTTCCTGCTTAACCCTGCACCGCTCCCTAGTGACCACCCTGCCCGGGCCCTCTGCTCCTCACATGCAGGCAGGCACCTGCTCGCTTTCTCTCTGGCTCCACATCTCAGGACCTTCTCCACGAGGACACCGCCTTGAGCCTCGAGCCTCTCGGCATGTCACATGTCCCTCCACACATGCCTGGACACCATCCCTCCACCCCAAACAACCCTTCCCTGCCTGGCTGACCTCTAACTCATTCTTTGACAATCAGCTTAGCCACCCCTTCTTTAGAAGTTTTGCCGGACCTACACTCTCACCTCAATCCTGGCCTGGGCTTCTAGCCCTGTTGCTCCCCAACTTCAGTAACCAACTGCCTGATGGCCCTCTGGTAGGAATGAGGACGACTCATCTCTAGCCCAGGAGCCTGACCCAGGCCCAAGCTCAGTATTTACATGCTCGGTGCTCAGACAGCACCCATGGGATGAATGAATGGACCCAAACTGCCGCAAGTATCCAGGCCAGGTGGTCAGTGGAGGCGGGCCACCGTCACTGGGTGCAGGAGTGGAAGTCACAGGGACAAGGTTCCTCACAGAGAGCTTCCTCCTGTTACACTGCCCCGCTCCTGCTGTCCCTGGAGTGAAGCATGCCAAGTGGGAAGGCCCTCCAGAGAGCAAAGCTCGGGACCCAGAGTAACCAGGAAAGGTGCAGGGGCAGCAGGCGTGGGGAAGACTGACCTGAAGGCTGGGCTGCCCAGAGGCCTGCAGGGCATGCTGTAGGGCTTGGCTGAAGAGGTCATTGGTGATGGGCGTCCCTGACTGGACCCCAGAGGACATGGGTGAGGTCCCAGAGGAATGGCCCTGGCGAGACAAACCCGTGGTGAGGGCCACCCTCAGAGCCGTCTCCCTCTCCCAGCACACACCCACTGCTGCCACCTCAGCCCCGCGGTGCCCCTGGCCTGCCCAAATACCGCCTCCCAACAGGGGCCTGCATGGGACAGCCACACAGAGGGACCTGAAGGCTCCATTCTCTTCCACTTTGGGGAAATGGAATCCAGCCCTGGACCTAGCCTAGGACCCTAGCACTGGAAGCTGGAGAGACTATCACTAGAAATCCCTAAGCCACTGAAGGCTGGGCCCTGCCAGGGATGGGGAAGCACACTTAATGTGAGGGAAGGTTTCTCCTGAACTACTCTGCAGGAGGAATCAATCGAGACTGTGCTGTGCCTTGGACTTTTGAGCCCTAAGGGCAAGGGAGAGGAAGGTCTCACAGTGAGAAACCCGGGAGGACTCAGGCAGACTTCAGCTCAAACCAGACGACAGGGTCAGCAAGGGCAAACCCATCCCACCGCTGGGCAGCTTCTCCCCTGGGGGCCCAGACCCTCCCCTCTCCATACCTGGGTGCCAGGAGTTGGCGTGTGCGAGCTGCTCTCTGGAGTGCTGGCCAGGGCCAGGGCAGTGGCCAGCTCACTCTGGGTGATGGGCCGGGGTCCAGCAGCTCCACTGTACCCCAGGGAGGCTGGGCGGGAGCTGGGGGTGCTGCTAGAGGGCGTGGACCTGGCCCTCTGGAGAAGGGAGACACCCAGGATCAGGAAAGTGGCCCTGTGACACTCCCCGATGACACCACCCCCGTTCCACGTACAGTTCTCAGGGAGACCCCCCAAGCTGCCAGGGTCAGAGAGCAATGGTGTGACAGAGACTTGGCCACCAAAGGGCCTATGACCACCTCACAGCTTGGGCTGCACATCCCTGGGATGCAGCTCTTCCTGGGACCACATTCCCCAGAGGGCAGGCAGCCAGGCCACTTACTGGGTGAAAGTCATCCTCATCATCAGAGAGCCCTTCAAAGAGGAAGCCACCTGGAGGAGGCAGAACAGATTTCAGGAGGGAGAACAGGAAGGCACAGGCGTAGCTCCAGAATCTCAGCTCAGATACTCTCCAAATTCATACTTCCATCTCTCCTCTTGGAAAATTACAGGACAGATGCACTCCCTGACTCAAACCGAGAGTTCCCAAGGAACACCCTCTGCCAGCGCTATACATAGCTGCTGACTAAAGCATTTTCCTGGGCCACTGCCGGCCCCTGAGGGGCCCACACGACACTCTCCCGGGACTCACCTGGCATGTCCCTGTACGAGCTGGAGGGCGTGCTCCGGGAGGAGGAGTCAGCCCCCGGGAGTGGTGTGCTGCCTGCCACCGAGTGCAAAACCAGGACAATGGCATTGACTAGGGCCGGGTGAGCAGGTACCAACCTGGAACAGGGCCAGCAAGAAAGCCAAGGGGCAATAAGAAAGAAAACTACCCCTGCCATGACAAAAGTCTGGGTGGCCCTAGAAATGTCAAGCCCCTGTGCCTGCCCTTAAATCCCTCAGTCTCAGCACCTCCTTCCATAGGCTCCACCCCCTCTGCTCTGCCCCTGGCAACAGTGCCAAGGCCTCGGCATCCACTGTAAGTGCTTCACCTCCCCTCGGCACAACAGGACAAGACGGCCCGGGCGCTCAGGGATCTACCACTGCTTCCCAGGTCCCCCACCTTCCATTGGGGGCAGGTGGAGGAGCTTTTTTCTTCACTTGCAAAGTAAGAGACAGAACCTCTGCTGTCCCATCTAGCTCCAAAACAACAGGGACCTACACACCTGCCTCATTCCCTGGCTTCACATCCTTTAAACGATCCTTCAGAGCTACTGAATGACAGCTACGCTGAGCCCAGCCCACGAGGCCGCCTCCCTCAGACCCTGCTTCACCTCCACAGCAACACGTGTTCCTGCCCTTGGGCTTGGCGTTCCCTCATAGCACCTGCTCTTTCTCACCTCCTGACACACTTAGAAGGCAGCCTCGGGGGTAGCCAGGGCCTGGGCTCCGAGAGCCCAATGCGGGGCAACAATCAGGCTCTGGCCAGACTGGATGAGGAGAGATGGGGTGCTCTTTAACAAGATGGGTGTACTTACGTATCCAGCATGTTGGGGTCAGCAAAGACAGAGAAAAGGTCCTTGTCCTGGAGAACCCCTAAGGAGAATAGGACTCACCTCAGACACTGAAACCCTGCCAGATCCAGGAGGGGGAAGAGGTGTTAGGCCTCAGAGCAACGGGCTCAGCAGGGGCACAGGACCACAAAGCACCCCACGTAAGAAGCAGGAGAAACAAAGCACCCAGCAGCACCACAGAGTGCTCTGCATCTTGTCCCCTGCTCGCCACCTCACCCTGCTGTTCAGTCGCGTACTGGGTGCCAACACGCCAGCCTCCTCTTTCCCCATTATCTCTGGGTTCTTCCCTGACCCATGACGCTGTGCACGAAGTCTTCCCTGGTAGCTGTGGTTTGGGCTAACCGCTGCCCTCGTCTGACATCCTCACAGTTCCATTTATGATGTTAATGAGGCTGTGGGGCCGACAGCCCTTAGAGGGCTGGGTAGGCGAACGCGTCCGGGTTCTCCCCTCCCCGCCACAAGACCAGTGGTTCTTCAGAACATGGTCAGGGTCCCTTCGGGTTGCGACTGCCCTCCTCTGGTTTCTGTTCCTCCAATGACTGCTACTTCCTCAAGTTCAGCTCTGTACTTACCGAGAGCAATGGGGTCACTGCTCAGGCCTGGGGTGGCCACGATGATCTGATCCAGAGACTCTTTATTGCTCAGCATCTTAAAGACCTGCAGGACAAACAGGGAGGGCTGAGCTCAATCCACTCAGCAGGTCCCCTCACTCTGCTTAGATACTTGCTCCCTCTAAGTGCCTGCACATCCACCACCACAACGAAACAACAGCCCCAGGAATCAGATGAACCTCTTTCTTCTCTGAGATCATGGCTGAGTGGAGGGGAAACAAACAATTTTTTTTAAAGGCAATTGCCGCGGACCAGCCGCAGCAGGGTCCAGGAATTCCCGAAGGTGGGTAAGGCATTGGCAATGGGTAACAGACGACAACACGCCTCAAAGGACAGTGAAGCTCTGTTCTGTTTATTGCAAGTACAAGCAGGTTTTTACATTTTCATTTTCGGTAGTGATTAACATTTGCAGTATAGCATGATCGGTTAAGCAGAAAAAATCAATACAAAGGGAACCAGGAAAAGTACGAAAGTTCCCATAGATTTAGTTATAATAAACAAAGAATATTTTGACCAGGAGAGCTATAAATCAGACAATTAGAAATAGCTGTATGTACAGAATTTGAATATCTTAATGTATATTAAAATTTCTCAGAATTTGTCATGGGGCAAAAGGATACACTAGATTGAGTAGAGGTACTAGGAAATTTATTATAAGGCCTTTGTGATGTCTAACTTAGCTATCTACCCTTTTCTGTCTAAAATGTTTCTCTGTGTACTATAAACTGACTCTCTAGTAACTGTTTATACGTGTTTAGTTTGTAATAGTCAACCACCCTTTTTTTATTTCTTTGCCTGTCTAATTGATATATATTCTTATTCAAGGTAAAGGAGGGGCTGTTACTCCAACAACTTTTAGACATTCAGGGGCTATTTTCATTAAAGGGAATTTTGTTCTCTGGTCAAGGAATTATTTTGTACAACTTCGTTGGAATTATGTTAATCAATGAACCTGAAATACAAGTGTCTAACAATCCCACCACCTTCTGATCACCAAAACAAACTTGTAAGAAGAGATAGACAGGAAATCCAGCCACAGTTGCCTCTGCCTTGCAGATGCATCTCAACCGTCCTGACCTTGTCAAGGGACAGTTGCTGGCTGGCTCCTGACAGGCAATATCACAGTGAACCTTCAATCTCTAGTCCTTCTCCCACCTATAATTCTAAAGTTCCCGAAATAACAGCTCTTATTACAAGCCAATAACAAAGGTTTCTCTGGTCCCAAGAGTCCTTTCTAGCCTCCATACAATTATCATTTCACAGTCATAGATATGGGGAAGTTTACAGCTGTATCAGCTTCGCTTATCAGCTCTCCTACAGAGACAGGAGTGCATTTCCCAGGGAAGAAATCCAGGTGAGGGGCAGGGGCAGGCAGTTCAGCCAAATTCCAAGACTGAGGCCCAGTGGAGACCCCACACGTGGACCCTCTGGCTGTGATCATGTTCATTCTGTGAGGCCGCTACCAGGAGAGGTCGTACCACTATCACCAGATGGAAACCGACACTACGGAGCTGAGACAGCCTCTTTGGGGGAACACAGGGCTCTACTGAGACCCACAGACATACGGAATTATTTTTAATATTATTTTAAATTAATAAAATACAAGAGGAACCAAGAAAACACACTGTTCTAGGGCTCTTAAACTTTCATCACAAGCTCGATATCAAGTGTCTCACTAGGACTCAAAGTTCCTTTTTGACTTTTCATTTTTGGGAGTTTTGATATATATGTGAAAGTTTAGCAGTTGTCTTAGTTTTATTTAGTTGCTCTCCTACCTAGGATATCAGCTCATTTCACAGGCGAGGAAATATGGGTTAAAGAACGAGGAGCAGGTAGGAGCAAGATAATATACAAAATTTGACAAAACAGCGGGATACAAAGTCAATATCCAGAAATCAAAGGCATTTTTGTATACTAACAGTGAATCAGCAGAAGCAGAAATCAAGAAAAAAAATCCCATTCGATACAGCAAAAAGAAAAATAAAATATCTGAGAATAAACCTAACCAAGGAGGTAAAAGACCTGTATACAGAAAACTATACAACATTGAAGAAAGAAATCAAGGAAGACATAAACAAATGGGAACATATACCACGTTCATGGATTGGAAGAATTAACATCATCAAAATGTCCATACTACCCAAAGCAATTTACAGATTCAATGCAATACCTATTAAAGTACCAATGGCATATTTCACAGACATAGAACAAACACTTCGAAAATTTATATGGAACCATAAACGACCTCGAATAGCAGCTGCAATTTTGAGAAAGAAGAACAAAGTAGGAGGGATCACAATACCTGATATCAAACTGTATTACAAGGCCACTGTAATCAAAACAGCCTGGTACTGGCATAAAAACAGGCACATAGACCAATGGAACAGAACAGAGAGCCCAGAAATCAACCCAACTCTCTACAGTCAATTAATATTTGACAAAGGGGGCAGTAACACAAAATGGAGTAAAAATAGCCTCTTCAACAAATGGTGCTGGGATAACTGGACAGCTACATGCAAAAAAACGAAACTTGAGCACCAACTTACACCATACCCCAAAATAAATTCAAGGTGGATAAAAGACACACATATAAGCCATGACACCATTAAAGTCCTAGAGGAGAACATTGGCAGGAAAATTTCAGATATTTCATACAGCAACTTTCTTACTGATATGTCCCCCAGAGCAAGGGACATAAAGGAAAGAATAAACAAATGGGATCTTATCAAAATAAAAAGCTTCTGCATGGCTAAATAAAACAGTATTAAGATAAAAAGAGAACCAACTGTTTGGGAAAACATATTTGCCAATGATACCTCAGACAAAGAGGTAACCTCCAAAATATACAAAGAACTCACACGACTCCACTCTAAGAAGACAAGCAACCCAATTAAAAAATGGGTAAAGGACTTGAACAGACACTTCTCCAAGGAGGACATACAGAGGATCCAGAGACACATGAAAAGATGCTCAATATCGCTAGCTATCAGAGAGATTCAAATTAAAACCACGATGAGATACCACTTTACACCAGTAAGAATGACCATCATAAACAAAGCAACAAACAACAAATGTTGGAGAGGTTGTGGGGAAAAGGGGACCCTAGTTCACTGTTAGTGGGATTGCAGACTGGTACAGCCAGTATGAAAGACAGTATGGAATTTTCTAAGAAAACAAAAAATGAATATGCCTTTTGACCCAGCAATTCCACTGTTAGGAGTATATCCTAAGAACCTAGAATACCAATCCAAAAGAACCTGTGCACACCAATGTTCACGGCAGCACAATTTACAACAGCCAAGAGTTGGAAGCGACCTAGATGCCCATCAGTAAATGAATGGATCAAAAAACTATGGTACATTTACACAATGGAATTCTATGCAGCAGAAAGAAAGAAGGAGCTACTACCTTTTGCAAAGCATGGATGGAACTGGAGAGCATTATGCTGAATGAAATAAGCCAGGTGGTGAAAGACAAATACCATATGATCTCACCTTTAACAGGAAGCTAAACAACAAAACAAACAAGCAAGCAAAATATAACCAAAGACACTGAAATACAGAACAGGCTGACAGGGAACAGAGGGGAGAGGGGAGAGAATTTCAGGGGAAAAGAGGAAGGATTCACAGGAATAAGTATAAAGCACACATGGACAAACACTAAGGCGGGGGGGGGGCGAATGGGAGGGAGGTGGGAAGCACTGGGGGGGTGGGCTGGGATGGGAGTAAAAGAAAACTGTACTCGAACAATAATTAAATAATTTTTTAAAAAAGAACGGGGAGCAGGGAAGAAGTTCACCCTAGGTCACACTTTTAAAAGTGTGATTGCCTCACCCAGAACGGCTACTTGCCACCCATGGTGCAGGCTGTGTACTGCCCCGAGGCACATGCCCCCCTGTGGCTCCAGGTGGAACCGCATCCTCACCTACACTGCTAATTGTGAGGAGTGTCTCTCCTGGAAAGTATTCACCTTCAGCAAATTACCTAATTCATTCACTCAGCAAACTCACACTAAGCGTTTACTCCATGCCTGCTTTGGGGCAAGGCACAAGTATGTAACAAATAACAGTCCCTGACATTAAGGAACTCTTAGGACAGCAAGAGAAACAAGACTAGTTCAAACAAAAACCAACCAATTACCAAATACCATGCTGAGGCCCTCCGCAGAGGTGCGGACCCCAGGTAGAGCACTAGGAACAGTAATGGCTGAAGCCATCACTAACAGGGACAGCGAGGACAAAGGGCTGTCCGCCAGGAGAGATCATTTGAGAGGGTATTTAACGGAGAGCTGATGTGTACTAGGGAGAGTGGGAGTCCAAGCTTAGGAGAGACTACGTGTAAGTGCGTGGAGGAATAAACTGAGGTGCTCTGAAGGACCAGCTAGTCTTGCTGTGCCCGAGCCCGGGGGACCCACCCCTGCTGAAACAGCAGGCTGAGGAGCTCTGCAGAGGGTTTGTGATTCTGTCCACAGAGAACCACCAAAGAGATGGGAGGCGGGTTTGACAGATTCGCCTCCTACAGGTGCCGATCCAGTGGGAGATCCAGTGCCTCCTGGAGGGTGGAGATGCAAGAGCGAGAGGGTACGGGGTGGGGGTAAATGGTAATGAGAAAAAAATACAATAAAAAGTAATGTGCATTTAAAAATAAATAAAATGCAAAGGGGAAAAACAGAAATGTGATTCCTTTTGGAAGAATACATAAGGATACACTATCTAAAATGCTGTCACAAAACAGTTTCTCTTCGTGTCTAAAAGCTTGTATTTACCTCCCAATTAAAAGTCCATTTGTTTCTGAAATAAATCTCTAAGCCCTAGCTGGATAGCTCAGTTGGTTAGAGCATTGTCCAGATTTGCCAAGGTTGCGGTTCCATCCCCCATCAGGGCACATATAAGAACCAACCAATGAGGGCATCAATAAGTGGAACCACAAATCAATGTTTCTCTTTCTCCTTTTTCTCTCTCTCTAAATATCAATCATTAAAAAAAAGAGACCTCCAGGCAGAAGATGGGAGAAAATGGAGCTACATCAGCATTAATGCTCTAAAGGATTATCCGCTAATAACTTAAGCAGATAATCAACTAAGAGTCACAGCTGTCTCTGGGACATCTCTGAATTAATTTCACCTTTTGGAAGTAGGAAGCAGCCAGCCCAGTAAAAAAGAACATGGGCCAGGAAACCTGCATTCACATCCTAAGACTTGAGTTCATTTTCTAAGTAGATGACCTTTCTAACCCTCTTTTTCCTCATCTATAAAATGCTAATTTTGTTACCTGTCCTACAGGGTAAGCATCTGAGCAACGGGTTGGTCGTGCCTCAAGGGGACCAGGATTTCCACTGGAAATGCTGATGCTTGGGGAGCCCCAGCTGTGACTTCACCCCCTGGAGGAGGTCACACAAACCCCTGCCCTGGGGACTAGCCCCATAATAGCTCCCCCAGCAGCCTCCAAGTCAACAACAACATCCTGTTGTTTAACCGGACAAGGGAGAGGCAGAACCAGCCGGGCAGGTGCAGACTGGAGACTGAGCTGTTCCTCCTTGGCAACAGGCTGGCTGGTCTCTGACCTTGGGGGCCAGGACCTTCCACGCTTCTCCATCTCCTCCAGCCGGGATGGAAGGGGAAAGGGGTGCAGAGCTTCCTCAGGCACGCCGGCCTCCTGCCTCAACTGCAGCACACCCCTCTTCAGCCCCTTCTTGCAGGGAGGTCAGGCCCAAACAGTCCTATGTTTGAGTGGCCCAAGTGTCAGTGACAGCCCTCAGGGAACAACCTCCAGAGCCCTTCCTGCTCTGGTGAACTCTGAGGGCGTGGAGGTCAAGGGCACCCAGCAGGTTAGTGCCAGCACATCTCTCTCTCCGCCCAGAGCTGCTGAGCCGGGACTCCACATGCTGGAGGTCTCTCGATAAAATAAAACTTAAAAAATGAATAAGTAAATAACTAAATAAATGTGTGTGTATATACATATATGTACACGTACACACACACACACACGCACGCACATGCTGGAGGTCCCAACCTCCCCAGACAAGTGCAGGCCGGGATCCTCCCAGAACCCCCTGACCTAATCTTTCCCTGAGGTGAAGTGGTCCAAGAAGCAGAAAATAAATGACAAAGAAGAACCACCCCCACACCTATTCCAGTCCCCATATCTGTCTTGACTTAAAGTAAAACCCCAACCTATGCCTCATAGAGGAGTGGCTCCAGAACCACCATTATCCTTGATCTGGTTGTTCTGCAAAGCTACCCCCAGCCCCCCAGCCCCCCAACCACTGGTACATAGGAAGGAGGCCCATTCTGCTGTAAGGCCAGGAGGGTTCTCCTCTCATCCCACTCCTGGGTTTCCCTGCCCAAGCCCATTCCTGGCCACGTGTCACCCCAGAGGAAAGAGAAGGCAGCTGTCAGCCAGGCATACCATCGCCAGCTGGTGGTCCTGGGGGACAGGCGGATGGCAGCGTCTGTCTGGCCAGTGGGGCACCTGGCACTGATGAGGAAGACCACAGGCTGCCCTGGGACAGCAGAGGCCATTACTGCACTGCCAGGCAGAGGGCACAGCCCATGTGGCTATTGCAGTGAGTGAACTGCATGCAGGGGAAAGAGGTGGAGCTGCACTGGGAGACTTGGAAAGTGGGCAAAATAACACAAAGCACCTTCAAATAGCCTCAGGGCAGAGAGACTAAGTGTTGAGGAAGCGCATAGTAAGTGCTAAGAAAGGGGAAAGGTCTTGGGAAGACTTGGGGATGGGGGCGAGCAGTGCCAAATGCAAGGGGTTTGGTGCAGGGGAGATTCGAGGACACTCAGATATGGTCCTTTGGCCCCCTTCAGAGGGCCCACGTGCTGGGCTGTCCAGGGCAGCCAAGGGGTCTGCTGCAAGGCAAAGATTCTGGGAAGGCAGAGGAAGCCTAGGACGGGGTGTCCTCCCTGAGGAGACGGCCAACCAAACATCCAGCTGCCCTGCTGCACTCCCACCTGGAATACCTCAGGCTGAATAACAAAGAGTTAGCCGCCCAGTCCGTCCTTCGTGGCTAAAGAGTTGCCTAAATCCTTTCCCCCTCCCTAACCCAGTGGTAGCACAGGTTCTGTGCCAGATCAGAGGCAGCCTCTGCACTGTGAGCTCACAGGTGCCCAGTGACCTTGGGCAAGTCACAATCTCTCCGCTGCAGCTGCAGTTTGGGCTACTGGTTTTGTGTGACTTCCCGCACCCCCCACCCCCCTTCTCTGCTAAGAATACCTGCCCCAGATAATGCTCAGGCCCTGGCAATCCCTGCAAACCGCCTCAGGCATCAAAGGGCCCAGGCAGGCCCAGACCCGCAGGTCCCCCCAGCCCCCACCCTGAGCCCACCACCACCACAGGGACTCGCAGATCCGTCTAATTTGGGGACAGAACCCACTGTCCTGGGGGCCGGAAGCATTTACGGGCAATGCAGGGGAGGGGAGCTCAGTCCCTCAGGGCATAAAGCCTCAAACCCCACCTAGACGGCTTTCTGGCCCATTGTGTATGGGCTTCAACTTCAGTCACCCCTGAGGGAGACTCTCTGGTCCTTCAGGCTCACATATCTACCGCAACCTCAAAGCTGCACCCCCGCCCCAGATCCGCCACCTGGGGGGTTCCAACGGCCGCGCCCCGCCCAACAGGCAGTGCCCCCCACGCTGGCACCTATTCCTGCTGACAACTGCCACGTGCGGACGTGGTGGGGTGGGGGGGAGCGGCAGGTGCAAGTGCCGGCATTGCAGAGGTAGCGCCCAGGTGCCCCAAGCTTCCGCACCCTACCGAGTCCCAGCTCACCACAGGGTGCCCACCCTTTACCGGCTGTGCTCTGGGCCGGGACGGGGCGGGGGCAGGCAGCAGGGTCTTTGTTCCCACAGCCGGAGCGCAGCAGCGGCAGCAAGGGGTCCCCACCTCCCCCCGCCCCCCACTCTGGCCCAGCCCGGTCCCGTGCCATAGAGGAGCCCAGCCCGCAGCTCAGGAAAGGGGACGTGGGTGGAGGTCTCAGCGGGAGAAAGGGTCTTGACCAGTGGCTCAGCACTGGAGGACGAAGAGCTCCTCTGGGGGGAGAAAGGGGCCCGCTCCCTCCCCTGTGCCCCGGCACTGCGGCTCCCAGTTGTGGGCGCACTAGCAGCGACTTAGCCGGGGCTCCAGCAGCCCCCCACCCCCCGCCAGCTCCCCGCAGCTCTCCTGCCCTCCAGTGTGTCAGCACGCACACGCACACTCACACTCACACTCACCCAGACCTGCACGCTCCCCGCCAGGACAGCCCGGGACCGCAGCGCGCAGACACAGCCGGTGCCACACACTCCGCACCCAACCCGCGGACCCGCGCTCTGCCCTCTGCGGGGCGCCACCCACCTTTCCACACAGCAGAGACTCGGGGTCCGCTCCTCGGGTGGCCGTGGGTGCCGGCGGCCGCCCAGAGCAGCAGCAGTAGCAGCAGCCTCAGCGGGAACCGGGGCCGAGGCGGCCGGCCGGGGACGCGGGAGGGCAGGACGCCGAGGGCGGTGCATCCGGGCAGAGGCGGTGTCATCCCGCGGTCCCGGAACGAGGACGGCGAGCAGAGCTGCCCGGACTGAGCCAGCACCAGAGCACAGGCTGATACCAGCAAGAGGCGGAGTCAAACGCATGACCCCACCCCGCCCCTCCCCCGCCCCTCTCAGCCTCTCTTGCCTCCGGGCTACCCCAGGGGGGCGCAGCGCCCACTGCTCCGGGAACCTTCGCCACCTGCTCCCGGCCACTTCCAAGGGAGAACCCCGGTGGACCCGGGCAAGACAGACTTGCGGTCCTCTCTGACCCGCGGTAGTCCCTGTCCCCTCTCAGGGCCTCGGATCCACTGCCCCCAGCCCGTGAAAGAAAGGGTGAAAGTGTTGGCCTGGAAGTCGGACAGGACCTCTCGGGGGCACACAGGTCTACGTGTGTACGCCAGGTACCTCGCCAATGGCCGGCTCAGTGGTTCGGACCTTGAAGGCTGTGGTTCTCCAGGGTAGGCTGGCCTGAGTGCACAGGGCTCCCTCTGAGCTCACAGCTTCTTCCTAAGGTGGGTGAGTGGCAGAGCTGCGATGAACTGTGGGGAGCACTCAGCGCCCCATCATTGCTCTGCTGTGAGAAGGTGCAATTTTCATCTTGGCGGGGCTCCCGCCCCTCCCTTTTTCTCTCTTCTCCCCCTTCCCCAGCCAGCAGCCTTCTGGGCTGCCTCCCTGCAGCCAGCTGGTGTGCTCAGAAAATCCAAACTCATTTCCATGTGAGTGCAGGGGGGTGTAGTTAAGAAGGCCCCTTTTATTACGTTGAAGTACTAGTTTCCTTCTATGACTAGTTTTTTTGTTTTGTTTTGTTTTATCTTGAGAGAACGTGGAATCCTGTCAATGCCTTTTTTATATTGATATTCTCTTGTGCTTTCCTTTCCTTTTGCTAATATTATATATTGATCAAATTTCATATGATGTACCATCCTTGCATTCCAGGAATAAAATCCTACTTCTTCTTGTGTAATAGCTTTTTAATAAACTGCTGAAAATTGGTTGCTTGTATTTTGTTGAGAATTTTTGTGTCAGTGTTCCTAAGGGTTTGTAGTTTTCTTTTGTCTCCATCTGGCTTTGGTATCAGGGTAATCTTGCCCTTGTCAAACGAATTAGGAAGTTGTCTTTCCTCTTCAATTTTTTGGAGATTGAAAAGAACTGGTACTACTTCTTCTTGAAACATTTGGTAGAATTCACCACTAATGCCAGCAGGGTCAGGGCTTTTTATTGTTGGTGGATTTTTTATTACTGGTGAAATCTCCTTACTAGTGATAGTTCTATTCAAATCTTCAATTTCTCTGGATTTAGCCTTGGTTTTGTGTTTCTAGGAATTTGCCCATTTCATCTATGTTATCCAATTCGTTGGAGACAACTGCTCATAGTATTTCCTTAGAATCATTGTTAGTTTTGTAAGACAGGTAGTAATGCCCCCACTTTAATTTATTTTTTATATATTTTAAAATATATTTTATTGATTATGCCATTATAGTTGTCTATTCCCCCCTTCATTCCCCTCCACCCTGCACAATCCCTCCCCCACCATTCCCCCCTTTAGTTTATGACCATGTGTCTCAAGTTCTTTAGATTCCATATTTCCCATACTATTCTTGCCCTCCCCCTATCTATTTTCTACCTATGGTCTGTGCTACTTATTTTCTGTACCTTCTCTCCCCTTCTCCTCCTCCCACTCCCCTGTTGCTAACCCTCTGTGTGATCTTCATTTCTATGGTTCTGCTCCTGATCTAGCTGTCCTCTTAGTTTGTTTTTGTTTTAGGTGTGGTTCTTAATAACTGTGAGTTTGCTGTCCTTTCACTGTTCTTTTTAATCTTCTTTTTCTTAGATAAGTCCCTTTAATATTTCATATAACAAGGGCTTAGTGATGATGAACTCCTTGCATTTGATCTTATCTGAGAAGCACTTTATCTGCACTTCCATTCTAAATGAAAACTTTGCTGGATAGAGCAATCTTGGTTGTAGATCTTTGGTTTTCATGACTTGGAATACCTCTTTCCAGCCCCTTCTTGCCTGGAAGGTCTCTTTTGAGAAATCAGCTGACAGTCTGATGGGAACTCCTTTGTAGGTGACTGTTCCCTTATCTCTTGCTGCTTCTAGAATTCTCTCCTTCATTTTAATCTTGGCTAATGTAATTATGATGTGCCTTGGTGTGTTCCTTCTTGGGTCCAACTTCTTTGGGACTCTCTGAGTTTCCTGGATTTCCTGGAAGTCTATTTCCTTTGGCAGATTGGGGAAGGTCTCCTTTATTATTTGTTCAAATAAGTTTTCCATTTGCTCTTTCTCTTCCCCTTCTGGTACCCCTATAATTCAGATGTTGGAGCCTTTAAAGATGTCCTGGAGGTTCCTAAGCCTCCTCGTTTTCTTTGAATTCTTGTTTCTTCATTTTTTTCTGTTTGGTCATTTTTTTCTTTCTTCTGGTCCACTCCCTTGATTTGAGTCCCAGTTTCCTTTCCATCACTATTGGTTCCCTGTGCATTTCCCTTCATTTCAATTAGTTTCACCTTCATGTGTTCCTCTAATTTGTGACTAAAATCAACCAGTTCTGTGAGCATCCTGATCAGCAGTGTTTTGAACTGTGCATCTGATAGGTTGGCTATTTCTTGGTTGCTTACAGTTGTGGGCTCTGGGGCTTTGAGTTCTTCTTGAGCCATGTTTTGATCTGTTCGAGCCTGTTACATATGAGGGGCGAAGCCTAAGGTATTCACCAGGGTGGGGCCAACCAGGCCGCTGGGTTGTGATGCTGTATGTGGGGGCGGGATCAAAGAGGGGCAATAGCGGTCCCCTCTGCTGCTTCCCGCCGCTGGGGCCTGTGGGATCTGTCTCACTGCTTGCTCCTTTGCTGGTTTATCTGCATGAGAATGTGTGACTGCGGTCAGCCAGCTGCCTTGCATCCTCACTGGGTCTGCCCCTTGCTACCTCACACCTGGGATCCGCCAACGGCTGCCTGCGCGCCTGGGGCGGGGGATCTTTCCTGCTGGCCCTCGCTCTGCTGCTGGCTCTGCCCCTCTTACCAGTCTGGCTGAATGGTTCGTTGTTGTCCAACTTCTGTATAGTTCAATTTTCTGTATTTTGGCTCCGTTTTTGTTACTAAAATTTGTTGTCTTTAAACTTGGTTGTGTGAGGAGTCACAATGTTTCCACCTATGCCTCCATCTTGGCTGGAAGTCTTTAATTTTTTATTTTAGTAATTTAAGTCTTCTTTCTTTTTCTTTAGTCCGTCTAGCTAAAGGGTTGTCAATTTTGTTTTTTCAAAGAACCGGCTTTTGGATTTATTGATTTTTGTGTATTGTTTTTCCTCTTCTCTATTTATCTGTATTGTAAATTGTGTTTTCTCCCTTCCTTTTCCTGGTGCTTTATAGTTGACATACACTATATTAGTTTCAGGTGTACGACATAGTGATTTGACATTATATACCTTACAACATGATCATCATAAGTCTAGGAACACCTATCACCATACAAAGTTATTACAATATTATTGACTATATTCCTTATGTCGTGCATCACATCCCTGCGACTCATTAATTACATAACTGGAAGTTTTTATCTATGAGTCTGTTTTGTTTTTTAGATTCCACATATAAGGGAGATCATATAGTATTTATCTTTCTGTCTGACTTCACTTAGTGTAATATTCTCTAAGCCCATCTGTCACAGGTGGGCACCGGTAACCAGGATCTTAGTGATCCAGGACAAAGAATTGAACCAAACACACAGAGTTTATAGCATAAAGAAAGAAAGAAGATTTATTAAGCAATAGTGCACTCTACGGAACATGGGAGCGGGCCAGCTCTGAGCAGAGATTGACCTCATGGGCTGGAGGGACTCTATTCTTATAGGGCGGATCCTTCCTGGGTAGTTTTGGCAGGTTTTTACTGCGCGTGTACAAATATGCGCATGTACAAGTAGTTGCGTTACTTTAAAGCTACTGCACATGTGGTCTCCCATGGTTTTCCTGGATTGGCCGCTAGGGAAGGGGGTCCCACAATGTTACCTAGTTGACCCCCTTCTCCTGGGTCCCCCCGTACTAGGTTTGCCTTTCCCTTCACCAGAGAATTATAGCTCTCCATGTTAGAGATTGGCAAAAAGGAAATTATTTATTCAAGTTATACAGACTTAAGAGTGAAGACTTAATGTCTTCATCATAATCCCAAAGTCCCTTAAAACACCCATAAACACACGCAGTCCTTCTCTGTCCCTTTGCCCAGCCCAAGGTACCGTATCTCAGGAGAAGAAATAGAAAGCCGCATGGTAGTTCTTTGCCAGAGCTGAGTGATGGTTCTTTGCTAAAGCTGCATGATGATTCTTCTCATGGCTGCGGGGGTGGGCGGGACCCCCTACTCTGGCCAAAGCCGCATCGTTCTTTTTGCTAAAGCTACGTGGTGATTCTCTGTCACATGGCTGCACAAGTCCCCATTCTGGCCAAAAACACGTGGTTCTCCCTCCAATGGCTGCCGAGTCTGAGTTTAAATCCCCTGCCAATCTTCCTCTGCAGATCCATTTCCGACTCCTCCCATGATCGGCTACACTTGCCAGGACTCCCATATCCTCCCAGTTTTACTGGGCTGCCATTGTGAGTCTGGGCAGGCGAGGCCCCGTGGTATGAAGCCAATCATCTCCAAGCTCTCATGCAGGCATTGTAATGGGGTTGGGAGTTGCCTCCCAGTTACCTCTTGGGTAGAAGTAATTTCCATCCCCCTGGCTCAAAGCATGGCCACAGCTATGTAACATATCTATGAAACCAGTTGAAGGTTATAGATATGTTAAATGACCATTCTAGAGGTTATCTGAGAAACTGTTACTATGCAAAACAACTCAATGGCCCTGCCCCATGTGTCCCATCCCCCCAGCTCAGACTTGTGGGGGTGAGGACATCCCATATTTTTAATATTTCCTGGACACCCTGAGTTCTGGACCCCATTACAAATCCTTCTTTTTGGGGTTCCCTGGCTGCACCCTCGTACACATCTATGTTGTCACAAATGGAAAATTTTCATACTTTTTTATGGCTCAATAACAGTCCCTTGTATATACATTTACCAAATCTTCTTTATGTATT